TGAATATATATGTTAAATGACATAAAATACAACTCGTTCAACAAATAAAAATCCAATGAAACAAATCAAAATCTAGTGCAACTGCAATCAATGGGAAACCGAAAAGCCCATAATGTGTACTTGTCAAAATGTTCTGAAGATAAGGGCTTTCAAAAAGATCATATTTAATCATAATTTGGTAAGCACATTATACTTTACATTTCCAAATTTCTGAGAAAGTATTTCAAATTACAAGTCTACAATTTCAAATGTTCTTTGTAAACCTATTGTTGACTTAAAAATAGTAATGTTACATTGTTAGTTAAAAATATTTAATTAATGTAAAGCGTTTAGATCTACTTTTTAAAAAAAAAGCACCAATATGACCAAGAAGAACAATGACGATAACCAAACAACAATACAAATAACTACACATAAAACTGAAAAGTGAGTTACACTTATCTTGGAGCCTTCCATATTATTTATTTCAAAACAAAATTCGATGATAAGAGGTATTCTGAAACTAACTATCGAGGCAAATAGAAGAGGACATTGGTAACGACAACAATGACAAATGTTTAATCAGAAAACCACAAATTGAGCAAAACATTTTGTATTCGAATAGCTGCATTGTTTAATGGTAGATGAACATTTAATAACACGATTAAGTTTAAAGCAGCAGATGCGCATTTGGACAATATATGTCTCTTCAGTGGTGCTGCTCGAAGCAAGAATATTTGAAAATCCGAAACCTAAGAAAAAATCATAGGTTCATTAAAATTTAGAAAACAATTGAATTCTAGGTAGCATTTGCATGAGAAATAAAATGCTTTGCTGAGCGCAGCCTGATACGACCGCAGCGGTCGAACCCTGGTCGAAGGTCGAACAGTTGGGGCAAATTTGGACACAATATTCAAGCTTGATACTATCTGAATTTGGATTCTGATAAAATTTTTGACATAATATAGGTTTCTGACACAAAATAAATGTGGTCAAAGATCTTACAAATCTAATGCGCAATACTGTGCAATTGAAGATTTCTTCTTGAAACTTTAAAAAAATTTGAAATTTTGAAAATTTTGAAAAAAAAATATTAACCCTTTTAAAATAAATTGGAAAGCCCCCCCCCCCCCCCCCCCCCCACCTTCCCCCCAAACTTTTTGAATCCCCCTTTTAGCATTTACCATCAAACTCAATTGCAGTCATTCCTTTTAGTATGGAACCTTGTAGTACAATTTTAGAGAGATAGAAAATGACATCATAGTCATGGCTAAAAACAAACAAAAAACCTTCATCAGCAACATTTTATATTGGCAAATTTCCAATGGAGTTTATTATACTAAAGTTATTGGCAAATTTCCATTGGAATTTATTAACAATACAGTTATTGGAAAATTACCAACATACATAATTTAAAAGCAGTGTAGGTGAGATATTCAAATGAGTTTGAATTACCAACCTTACACTGCTTTTAAATTATGTTTTGTACTTAAGTAATTGTCCATTAACCTGGAAACCCTTGTTTTTTCCCCCTTTTTTGGTCCTTATTCCTTAACGGTTTGAGCCATAACCCCCTTCCCCCTTCCCCCCCCCCCCTCCCCCCCCCCCCCCCCCCAAGCCAATTGTTACCATCCCTTTGTGGGATGGAAACTTGTGGTATAATTTCAGAGAGATCCATACACCATTCCACAACTTATTGTCTGAAAACTAGAAAAATGCTTATTTGGGCCCTATTTTGGCCCCACATTCCTGTTGGGACCAAAACTTTCAGCATATCAAAGAACCCCCATAATTCAATTTTTAATGAAATCAAACAAAGTGACCCTTCGGACCTCAATGTGGATAGATTTAAAAACGAGGCCCAAAATCCAAAAATCTAAATACACGGTTAGATTCAGTATATCAAAGAACCCATATATTCAACTTTTGTTGAAATCATACAAAGTGTAATTTTGGAAACCGATTTGGACCAACTTGAAAATAAACTCATCATAGATACCAGGACTAAAATTTTACACTTACGCCAGACACGCGTTTCGTCTACAAAAAAGACTCATCAGTGACGCTCGAATCAAAACATATTTAAAAGACCAAATAAAGTACGAAGTTGAAGAGCATTGAGGAACAAACATTCCTAAAAGTTTTGCAAAATACAGCTAAGGTAATCTATTCCTGAAGTAGAAAAGCCTTAGTATTTCAAAAATTCAAAGTTTTGTTAACAGTTAATTTATTATTATGAACACATCAATGATAACTCAAGTCAACACAGAAGTGTTGACTACTGGGCTGGTGAAAACTTGTCCAATAATCAAAAATCTAAATACATATTTAGATTCAGCATATCAAAGAACCCCAAGAATTCAATTTTTGTTAAAATCAAAATAAGTTTAATTTTGGACCCTTTGGACCTTAATGTAGACCAATTTGTAAACGGGACCAAAAATTAAGAATATAAATACACGGTTAGATTCAGCATATTAAAGAATATTTCAATTTTTGATGAAATCAAACTATATCATTATTATTTGCTTTTATATATAAATCAGAAATAACCAACTTAAAATGGAAAATTTTAAAGAAATAAAAAGGAAAAAAAAAAGAAAAAAAATAAAAAGGAAAAAAAAATCCCCCCCCCCCCAAATTGTAGAACCCCCTTATGATTCATCACCCCAAAACTCAATACCGGCCTTCCCTTTGTGGTATGGTACCTTGCAGTACAATTTCAGAGAGATCCATACACTTGAACACAAGTCATTGTCTGGAAACTAGAAAAATGCTTGTTTTTAGGCCCCTTTTTGGCCCCAAATTCCTAAACGTTTAGGGCAATTACTTCCAAACTCAAACCAAGCTTTCCCTTTGTGATATGGAACCTTGTAGTACAATTTCATAAAGATTCATACACTAACACACAAGTTATTGTCCTGAAACTAGAAAAAATGCTTGTTTTTTGCCCCTTTTTGGCCCCAAATTCCTAAAATTTTGAAGCAATTACCCCCAAAATCAATCCCAGTCTTCCCTTTATGGTATGGTACCTTGCGGTACAATTTCAGAGAGATCCATACACTTGAACACTAGCTATTGTCTGCAAACTAAAAAAAATGCTTATTTTTGGCCCCTTTTTGGCCCCTAATTCCTACACGTTTTAGGCAATTACGCCCAAACTCAATTCCAGCTTTCCCTTTGTGATATGAAACCTTGTAGTACAATTTCAGAAAGATCTATACACTTACACACAAGTTATTGTCATGAAACTAGAAAAATGCTTGTTTTTTCCCCTTTTTTGGCCCCTAATTCCTAAACTTTTGAGGTAATTACCCACAAAATCAATCCCAGCATTCCCTTTGTGACATGAAACCTTGTGGTACAATGTCAGAGAGATCCATACACTAACACACTAGTTATTGTCTGGAAGTTACAAAAATGCTTATTTTTGGCCCCTTTTTGGCCTCTAATTCCTTAACTGTTAGTACCATAACCCCCATAATCAATTCCAACCTTCCTTTTGTGGTATTAAACCTTATAGTAAAATTTCATAGAGATCCATTCACTTAAACTAAAGTTATTGTGCGAAAACCAATGTGTCTTCGGACGACGACGACGCCAACGTCGTACCAATATAAGACCGCAAAAAATTTTTGCGGTCGTATAATAAAAACAGGATCCATGTCACCTGAATTCTCTACCTGATTTATTTCAAATTATATGCTTGCGCTTCTCTTTGAAATACAAACATAATTTTAAGCTACGAAAATGCAAAAATTATGACATATAGAACGTCAGTTACAATTAAAAATTAACAATGAAAATGCTACATAAACAGTCAGTATAATCTGTCTTGAACACCTTCAAACTTGGGTTAATGTCACTGCTGGTGGAGGTTTTCTCCCCCGAGGACTTATGTGTTGACATGAATCATCATTGATATGGTCATTATTCTAAATTAACTTTACAAAACTGAATTTTTCGAAATGCTTAGTATGTTTCTACCAACAGAATAGAATAGCTTAGTTGTATTTAGCAAAACCAACAGAATAGATTAGCTTAGTTGTATTTAGCAAAACCTTTCGGAACTTTGGGTCACCAAAGCTAATCAACTTCGTTAATTGTTTGGCCTTTTTATCTTTTTTTTATTCAAACGTCACCGACGAGTCGTGTTTAGAGAAAAACCCACGTCAGGCATATCAAATTTTAATCCTAGTATTTATGATGAGTTTATTGTATGTATTAAGGATAACCTGGCTGATGTGTTCTAGGCTTTGACCACCAATATTGTAAACATAGATGTCGCTTGGATTTTGAGTCATTTGCAAACAATTTTAAGACACAAAGATATAGATCCAACTGATACAAAACAGGCTTGTTGATTAAAAATAAACATATGAGATCGTTTGAGGTGTTCTATTTTCTAAAGAAAATTAATAAAAACATTAATTTCCAAAGTTCTAAGCTGGAATTTGAAAATCATAACCCCTTTTGGTAAACTGCTCAAATACATTGACGTTTTGTCGATATAACTGCGGCAATCTACACAGACAAAGTGTCATTCTTACATATGTCGACATAAAGTCACTGGTTTAAAATGTATTCGACCCTAATGAATCCCTTTCAAGGTTATAATTAGAATCATTTAAAAGATAAATACGAAACTATCGTTTGCTTAAGTTACAAAACTGCCTGTCTTCAATTCTGCACATTTCAAATGTTCTTTACAATGAAAGAACTTCTCTGTTATATTTTTCATTTTTTATTACCACCTAATACACACGGGGATGCTGTGTATGTGTATTATAGATATGTTAATATGTGACCATTAACACTTTAAATCTCAAGAAGCAAAAAAGGAAAACCCTCGTCAAAAATAATGTTTCTAGTCTTTACTGTTACAAAGGTAATCAGGCATTTAATTGAAATGAGTAAGCATTTAAACATGCTTAAAAATGTTTCAACATCGTTCGAAAATGTTGAATAATTAATAAACATCGAGTTTATAAAGGGATATCCTTGATATAGAGTTTCCATAAATGTACGGAGGTTTACTGGAACGTATGAACATGGTGAATATGGTTTTTAGGACAGATCAGTGGTTTAAAATTCTACTTTTATGTTTACTGACTTGTAAAACTGGTGGTAAGTTGAGATTTAATTTATATGTTTAATTTGCTTCTCAATTTCCATTTGAATGCCATGTCACAACATCATTTAAAATTTCGAAGCAATTCTTAAAATAACCTAAACTTTCTTTTAACACCGTGACTACTACCGATAGTATCCAAATGCTTTATAAAGGGTGAAACAAATGAGCACTAGTTGATATTTAAGAAATCATCCAAAGGTGCATGTACTACATCGTTTAACTAAGTTGTCTTTACTTTGCGTCTATGAGCAGTTCTTCGTGACTGAAGGCGTATCTTCCTTTGGATATTTTTGGTCTTGATTTGTTTCTAAAAGCCTGTCACTTCGGTACCCTTCTTAACTCAACTTAATTGGTCCAATATACAAAAAATCAGGAGACATTATATCATTCCCTTTATGAGAAACTTATCCATCGAATATAACTGGACAAATTTGGAACAAATACAATTCACAGTACAAACTTTATCAATGAACAAATTTCATACTGTTTACACGCTATAAAAAACACCTAGGAGACAAAATGTGAAACACATCAAAAGGTAAAACCATTGGCCGGATATGTACTAAACAGTTAACAAACCAAAATTAACTGATGACAGATAGCAATTAACGCCAAACGCTTGATTGCAGACTTCTGGCTTAGGACAAGCACATGAACAATATGGCAGGTTTCAGCATGTGTATGAGCGTTTGTGTGACAGAACAACAATAGAATAAATTGTACAAATCAGTTTAAAGTGAATAGTCTGCTAAGATCAGTTTTAATCTAAAAAAATATATTGATTTATTTGATTTATTTGCTTTGAGCTAGCTTTTTTGTAACTGTGAATTATTCTCTGAGATCAGTACTTTGTATCTTTTGTCATTTTGTTAGTTTCATGTTGTGCTTCGTGCCGATCAGATGAGTCAGACTCTTTCCAACTGATTTCTGCAGTTTGCTCTCATGTTGTGCTACAACACAACTGTCCTAGACTAGAGGAGGCGCTCATAAAAATGTTTAACCTACATTTATGCAGCCACAGACTTGTTCCACATTCTTAACGACATACATTATTTGTTAGATAATTAGAAAAAAATGTAAAAGTTATTAGTCAAATGACAGTTCATACGAAAGCTCACAAAATAAAAGCTAACGCTTTAGAAAAAAAAATAAAACAAACTATAAACTGAATACACGTAAAGAGCGACTAGTTCCAACAGTATGGTATAATATATATAGAATAATGTTTTTTTTTTTTGATGCAGACTTTATGAGCAGGAATATCAAGCGAGCACGCTAGGGTGAGGTAATATTCGAGTTGGTGATGTTAGTATAAAACAAATCGGCAATTTATTTATATAGTTATGTTTTGATTTGGTTGAGAATATAACTATGTTCACGCGTACAAAACGTTGTTGTAGTTGTTCGGTTGTATTAATGGAGTTGCGTGCATTTCATTGATAAATTACTTGGATGGACATGAACGAGTGACGTTGCTAGACTGATGCATGACGCCATTGGCTAATATTTTCGAGCATCAGGTCCTGCCCATGTTCTAAAAAATATTAGGTTTTAAGATCAAAGTGCATTTGCTACTTTAAAATGGTACTTTATGTACCAAACTCTTGAACATTTCGGCTTTAATAGTTCATTTATTAACTAGATCAAAACGTTATATTCTGATATAAATAGCTCAGTGTTCAATAATGGATGGATTTCTGCACCAATAAGTCTAAAAAGGGGGATACGTCAGGGATGCATTTGTTCTTCCATGATCTTCGTGATCGCAGTAGAAATCATGGCATGTAAATTAAGAAATGATAATAACATAAAAGGCATTGAAATAAAACTTGACCATTCAAAACATAATTTAAAATTTTCCCAGTTAGCAGACGACACTACTTTGTTTCTAAAATAAAAAAAATGAAAATATAGCAGCATTAAACGTCATTAAAATATTTGGCACATTTTCTGGTCTTAAACTAAATAAAAATAAAACGGAAGGCATTTGGATAGGAAAGCTAAAAATTGTAAAGATAAAGTAGATAATATAAAGTTCACTGATAAACCCGTTAAAATGTTAGGCTTGTATTTCGGTACAAATAAAACAGAATGCGCAAAACCAAATTGGGAAAACAAGTTTAAAAAAGCAACAAAAAAAAACCGTATGAAATCATGAGAAAAAAAAATCTTACTATCATCGGTAAAATTTTAATAATCAAATCACTTATAATTCCACAATTTACATATTTATCAAGTATGACAGTCATAAGTAAAACGTATATTTGCAGTTTAGAAAGAGAAATTTTTTATTTTATTTGGGACGGAAAAAAACAAGATAAAGTAAAACGATCAACTCTAATATCGGATTACAATAAAGGAGGACTCAATATGATTGATACCGACAGTTACTTTAACACACTTAAAGTAAATGGGTATCAAGATTAATAGAGTCAAAACATGAAAATTGGTCAATTATTCGAAGATTCTTTTTTGATAAATATGGCGAAAATTTCCTTATCTTTAAGATGAATTTAGAAATTAATAATCTAAAACCACTAAAAAATACAATTGAGTTACTTGAATGTTAGCACGATATTGTAAAATTCTGGATACGTAAAGGTGGAGGTCAAACAAAATCGCCCACTAACTTATATGGGGTAATAAAAACATAAAGATAAAAAAATAAACCAGTAATGATGTTTAGCTGGATCAAAAGCAATATACACAATGTAATCTATATTAATGAACTGATTGACGAAAACGCGCAAATCGATGAAAAGACAATACTGCGCAAGTTAGAAATAAAATACAACTGGATAGCCGAATTATCAATACTGAAAAAGTTATACCAAGAAGTTGGATAGATATCATAAAAACAAATAACTCTGTTAAAACCCGAATTAATATTGACGAAAAGTCAATTAGAATGAATAAATCAGAAATCAATTTATCAGATCTTGACAATAAAACCGTCTATCAATATTTTATAAAAAAAAATAACTCCTAACATTGGAACAATAAAATGGCAGAGAATATTAGACGCAAAATCATTATAAATTAGACAATCCTTATCCTTTACAAACAATGCATTATACATAAACAAACTTAAAGTTTATAAATGGAAATTATTTAGCTATATATTACAGAACCAAGAAAATCTTTTTTCAAATGCAAAATATCAAATACCTCCGAGTGTGCTTTATGTAAATGCACAGATAATTATAAAATACATTTCAAAGATTGTGAATTTGTAAAATACTTTTGGAATAAAATAACAGAAAAAGTGAAAAAAATTTTGTAAGAAAATATCCCTAAAAGACATAGTCTTTGGATATAAAATCGGAGACCGACATTATATATTTTATTATAACTTTGATAGGTTTCTGAATCTACAAATCATTTTACACATCAAAGCAAAGAACAAAATCTGCCAACATGTACAATATCATTTCAAAAACGAATTTGAATTATACTTTGAAGTAAACACACACATGAAAGAACGCAAAACCAATCTAATTCGTAAATTTCAAAAATTTCTGTAAATTATGCTAGATTAATATATATAAATATTAATATAGTTGTGATGAACAATGTATAGAATGATAACTGATGTATCTATAAAATGATAAAACACATGTAAATTTTAAATTGACTCCTCTCCGGCCGTTAAGGAAGACCCTTTAATTACACTTATTTTAGAACTTTAAATCATAACACAAAATTCACAAAACATTATGAAAGACAATGAAAATTCTATTTCGAAAACAAGAAACATATAATATCTTGCCGTTTGATTATAATCCAAAATTAATAAGATTAACATAAACACTATATCCTTCAATCATGTCAGGTTATGATTATTAGATCACGCTAAACACACTCACGATTTTTCTAAACGAGTAAAATATGTATCAGGTAAGACTGTACAAGGATGAAAAAGTAAAGGTCAAATCCGGAACAAAAAATACGTAACCAATTTAGATGATATACATTAGACACCCTGTTCTTAAAGATATTAACATATCAGGGTACCTTGTTTGTGAAAGCTGTAGCAATAAGGTAATTGTAACAGCTTTAGACTAATAAATCAATTATCATTGTCAAAAAAAAAAAAGATCAAAGTGAAAATGTACAAATTACTAAAACAATTTTATATATTGAAGGGGTATACATTACAACCAACGAATCGACCCAGGTCTATGGCGTTGTTGAATCATGGCATAAACCTAATATCATGAACTACACTATTGACATAAATAGGTATAACCTGGACCTTAGTGGAATAACATCGTTACTGTTTAAAATAAAGGCATGCGACAGTGCACATGTCCTTCTGTCTACTTCTGATGTCAGAAATTCGTCAAAACCATTGTATGAGATTATCATGGGATATTTCAGTGACTCTTCGTATATTATCTACCGTGCCGGAAGTACTCATGACACATGGTTTTCTATTCCGAATATACTGAACTGCACTGTGTATCTACCATTCTGGATTAGTTGGGCGAGTGGAGACATTAAATTAGGAACTGGGGTTGTCGTTGGTGAAAATATTTTGGGAAATTTCAAAAATACAACTCATTTTGAAGTGAGAAGTATTGGAGTATTTACAGACCGTGGAACATTAGGAAATTGGACAATAAGAGTTGAAGGTAATTTTAAAATTTGTATTTCATTTGTATTTATTCTAAATTCATAAAATCAATGAATCTATGCTTTATTTTGTATTTTTATTGATAAGAGAAACGTTTGCATATGTTTTCTTCTTCCATTGGTAAAGGTTCTGTCCACATTTGCTTTTCATTTTTTTTTCATTTAAAACTGCTTCAATTTACTATATGTATCTTTAAGCTATATCTACCCGATAAGTGGAAATGGAAATGTATTGCATTTTTGTTTACATCTTTGAAGATTGATAAACATTAATATCTATAGGTTTTTTTTTGCTTCAAAAAAAGGAAAACCGAGTTAAACATGTTAAAAACAGTTGAACATATCACAAAATAATAATTTTTTACCATTTTGATACCTGCATTTTGGGTTTAGTGTAGGAGCTACTATACTCTCACGAATGCCAATAGTTCTAAATGAAAATTGTATTTTCGGTTGGTAAACGTCAAGTTGCAAATATTGCATGCATGTTCAAGACGAAAAAAATTTACAATAAATACAATAAGTATGTCTTGTAATAGAGGCCGTCTGAAATGAAGTTGATGGAAATTTGGACTGAAACTAGAAAATGAGCGAATTTTGGATAGAGACAGAAATTTGTGCTTTGCAACAAGCTACGGACCCCTCAAAGAGTTGTTGCAAGGGTTCCCTAACGTGTAGAGAGTGTGACACTCTTTACATGAGGATTGAATTTAATGTCTCCATTTTCTGACCGGACGTGGCTGCGTACTTGTACATCCCGAACAGCCAAACATACGCCTATCTTTGGAAAGTGTTTATGCCGGTCGGAAGAAGACAAATAGTGACCATATTTCTATTCCTTAGTCACTCTCGGGGGATACAAATTTCAATTTTGTTCATATAATACATATACAATGTACAATGAACATAAAATGTGTAATTTCTCATTTTTTATTCTCACAAATTAGTTATTTGTTTAAAGTACAGAAAAGTACTCGTCATATAATTGATGAGGAATTTCGGATACTTTTTTTCGCGTTAAATTGAATTCTTTGCATTACTTCTTGTTTTTTTCTGAATCATTGTCATCCATTTTTTAAAATTTTTTTATCATAAACAAAATATTTTCTAGGATTTGCTTTTTTGGACCGAAAACGACGAAAGGTAACATTTATGTTTGTGTATGTGCTCATAAAAAAGATTGAAGCTAAAATACACAAAAATGCATGGCAGTGTTTTTTGTGGAATTTGTCTAGATTTAAAGGTCAACGTGACTTTTTTTTCTGAGGAGGTGAAAAAGTAAATTTTTGCTACTGACTTGTTTTGTAGGTCGAATTATTTTTAGGCTTTAGCAAATCAAGAACTTTGCAATGGACTGGGTATCTTTTTGTGTGCTTTGTTCGCAGTACCACTTTTGTAGAAGTACTTCACATGGAAAATGACAAGCTGCTTCCATGTGCAAGGCATTTTTAAAAAACTAAAAAACTTCAATGTTTTTGTCAAAAATCAAAGACATAATTTTCCAAGGGCATTGGAGTATTTATTACATACACAAAAAAAAGTAAAAACTTATTTTATCATCAAATTATAGAAAGGAGATGCTCATGTAGTAGTAAAAAAAGTAACCCTTTTTGCTATTTTTTTTGTACAATATAAACAGTGCTAGTAGGGGATATTGGCATGCATCTGCAATACCATAAAAAGAATCTTGTTATATTTTATTCTTTCGACATTATTACTTATTGCAGACATTAATGGTGTCAGATTAGTCAAAGGTTGTGTTATATTATTGGCCTTGATTTATTTTTTATGTCCTCTTAGTCATAATGGTGAAATATATTTTAGGAGTTTTATGTGATAATGTCTTCTGTTTGTTTCAATGAATTGTTTTTTTTTAATTTCTCTCGTTCTGACATAATTGACTATAATGTCAGAACATGGAATTTAGAATATGCTTTATTTTTCTTTTAACAAGTTTTGATTTAAAGTTCCAAGGAAGATTTAATTGTTAATATAAAATAACCGTTGTGATGACATAAAGCTTTATCCAAAAAATGGTGTCTGTTATGATCGCATGCAATAATATGTTACTTTTCAACTTATATCTCTAATTAAGGATTTTTATTGTTTGGCCAATTTACGTTTATTTATTAGCAAATTATTGTTATTATTTTTTATTTCATCTATCATGTCTATATCTTTTAGTAAATCAGTTTGAGTATTTCGAAAAACTTACGCTCCAACTTTCAATTATTTGAATAAGGACGTCTTTTTAAATGACCATAAAAATTCGACATATTGCAAATTCTTCTCGACTTCAGCAATACCACGAGACTTTTTAAACAGTTATGTTATCAGTTTATTCATAGAACAGAATTATTAGCTTGTATACTGATAGAAGAAAAAAGTACAAAAGCATACCCAATATGACTTAATACCATTTGATGGATAGTACCTTTAAGGCATGAAGCCAACAAAAGTTAGTGTCAAAACTACTGTATCGAATGATTTGTATAAATACAAAAAACGGAACTTTGAAAAGACATACCAGTAATATTTATTGCACAGGCGCTTGATTACGTGCAAAGGGTATTTTTGTATGAAATATGAAACTTTACATGTAATACTTAATATCTCTGTTTATTTTAATATAACATATGTATATATGTTATAGGATTTTGAAAAAAAGCTTTCGCATAAATATATTATACATATTTGATACAGTTTCAGACAAATTTGCTGGATATTTTGACAGCTGTAGTATGAGTAATACCAAGTCTGACGTGGTTGTAGTTGATGACATTAAATGTTCAGGAATCAGGTGTGCTACGAGCTGTGGAATGTCGCAGACTTGTATGGGTTTTAATTTCAACAGTGTCATGAACAGGTTTGTGTTTAAAAAGTATAAACAAACTTTGTATCTTATCACTTACATCCTATTATGTTTTAAGAGTATGGTTACACCTAAATATGGTATAAACAATGTACAGCAACCCAACGCAGTTAAGCATCCTCAGAAACGATCCTTTTACGAACGTACGAATTTTAATTAATGAAAAGTGTCCATAATCTTTTTTCGGCTTTTTAATGATTTAAGTCTAGTCAATATATGGACGAGTTCAACCAAAACAAGTACACTTTCAATCAACTACAAATTTCATAAAGGACAAAACTGTGGAATAAAGAGGTGATATGGGGAATGCATATTTTACTGCATATGCAGTAAATGTGGTACCGTTAATGTTATCAACAAGGTTTAAAACAGTTACGTGTGTAATCAGCACATCCCCATTTTATCTTAATGAATTAAAATTACATTTTGTAGACAGAAAATGCAAAAGTATATTCAGCCGATAAAGTCATTTGATTAAATAAAATTTAAGATTTGCTACAACAGATGTAAAAACAAATCGTTCCAAACTTTACTAAATAATATCTTAGTTAAATAATACCCGCAGCCATATTCCATTTAGTTAAAATAATCAATCTGTTGGTATAAAAATCGTACCTTTTTACAGCCTTATTTAATCAACTGCACCTAACTTACATATTTCATTTAGTCATGTCATGATAATTGTAGAAAGACAAAGTCCGTTTGCAATTCCAAAAATAAATACGAAAATTGAAAAAATACATATTATCAGAAGAGGTGACGAGTTGCTATCATAATAAATTATTGTCCATTAAAATAGCTGAAGTATTGTTGAATAATACACGAACATGTTTATGATGATTTATAATGCAAATGAGATAGTTATTACGTATTTAGTGCATTAAATACAAAGCTAGGACACACTTTTTTATTCAGGTTATCCTAGATTCGAAACAAAAGATATGTTCTTATATTACACTTCAGGGCCACATTTGTCTACATTCTGAATGAAAGCAGTTAGTCTAAGATATGTCAAAATATGAAATACATGAAAATCTCAATATCACAAGAGACGGCCCAAAAATATCACTTTCTGTACTTCCAATGTATGACATATATGTTGTTTCCAGACATCAGGAATGCATATTCTTTTGAAATCCCAATCACTCCGTGACCATTTGGAACATCAAACTAGAAGCTTAGATTGGATTAATAAACACATTTTGAGAACTTTTGTTTTAACACAATGTCATTTTCTACATTTTAGATGTGAACTACTCTCGTTTGGATCAAATGATGTAACAGACATACCACACCACACTGAAGCTGATTGGAGGTTTTATAGTAAATGTTACAATGGGAAAACTGCTTGTCTTGGATGCTATTGACAGTAAACAGTTTTTGATAAGGATACCATTTGCAATTGTTTATTTAAGGAATGACTGTAATATTTTTTTCTGTCTTTAAAGAAATAACATAAAAAATGTGGTGCACACTGAATAACCCGCGTAATGGGTTATTTAAAAGTGTGCACCACGTTTTGTAGATTATTTCAAATAGACAGAAAAAATGTTACAGTCAATCCTTATAATTCAGTTCTAAATTCCATTTTTAAGGAGTAAATCATGAAAAAAATTGATGACGTCATTGTCCCATGACAACGTTATGTCTATGAGCTGATAGACAAAAAACTTTCAGCCAATCAGAAGACGTGTAACACCCAAAACTAAACTATATTTTTTTAGATTTTAAATCTTTTTAAAAATTCCATACACTTATTGAGTTGATATTTGTCTTATACAGACAACTGTAAATTAACGATTCTCTAGTTTCCTGAGTCCATTACGAAAATACCAATCAAGGTAAAAAACAAAAGCTGAGGGAATCGCAAGAATCCAAAACAAGACCAAATGCTTTGACATGGTAAGGATCTCCTGCTACGTCTCTCCTTAAATCATTGCTGCAGAAAGTAATGTTAATGAAGCCTGCATAATGTGAATATCCATGATTGTAGCTTATTTCAATTGAGATATGTAAACACCATACGATGAAGCAGTATGTAAGTTTCTGTTAGGGAATGGGAAGTTAACAATAGGTAAGCTGAAATCATCTTGTCATAGATCTTATTTTGAACTTGTCCTTCTATGTCAATATCAAGAAAAAGATCCAAACCTTCTAGTCTGAGTAGTATCCTTAATTTCAACTTCATAGGGATTTGTGAAATGCAATAACAAACTATTATATAGGTTATTGAGTGACAGAACATGATCAATATATCCTTAAGTGTTATTTAAAGAACTAGAAAATATGTTTTTCTTTCTTTCTTTTTTTTTATTATATATGAATTCTGTTTCACATAAGAAAAAAAACAAGCCGACTGGTAGTGGTGTACAATGATGATAAGTACCCTTTGTAATAACGACTTTTTATGAAAAATCAATCAATCAAAGTTGTCAATTAAAAAATCTACGAAAATATTGGTTTCGGCTCTCGTTTTATGTTTTCTTGTAAGAATCAGTTTTGTAATTGAACTAATTATTATAGAAATACTTTCATATTTTTCTATTTTTTTTTACATAGTTGAATAGATAAATGTGTATAATTAATTCTTATATTGTGGTTAAAAATTACTTTTGACACAAAATTCTAAAAGGACCTTGAACTTGATTAAGCACATGTATCATTACGTTTATAATTATTAATTATCATTGATGCGTCATAGGACGAAAATTTTCCAAACTTAATTATACAATGTGTTGGTGAAAGATGTTTAAGTAAAGAATAAATTTGAATTCGTTCTTTTGGTCGATTTTTTTTCTCCCTTGTATTTTCTGTTTTGATTCTTTTATTGTTTATTTCTGTTTAATTCTTGTTTTTTGGGGTTTTCGTGGAAGAAATTATCTCTAATAAGTAGCATATAGTTTTGTTGTCGGTTTGTTTATGATATATATTGGGCTAATTTTTTGGAAAGCAAAATAATTTTATCCATACCAAAATGAAAATTTTTTTGTTGTAAGATTAAAATCGGTACTTTTTTTCGTTTTCAATTTCAGCAAAATTGCATAATTGTCATGATTGTGATTATAATATATAGCATTGTAACATCTAAATTAAATTTTATAAAATTATCAATTTATATCATGCATATTTGAAAATATAGCTTTTACCGAATATTCATCCTTCAATGTTCAAGACGAAGTTTATGATTCCTTATCTATTAAAAAAATAAAAAGATGTGCAAATGAGACAACTCTCTCCCAGAGACCACATGACGTAGAATACTTAGCAATAATAACAATTTTTGAATTTCTTCGAGAAAGCTTCAAAAGAAATTTTCAAACGTGGGTCAAGGTAAAAACTTCAGGTTTTGATCTCCGATAAATACCTCGGAATCGTTACATAGCAGCTGCCTTGAACTTTTTTTTATTGCCCAATGTCCATATTAAGTCTTCAGAATCAGACCTGCTGCTTAGTACATATACAGGTTGCATTTACAATGCCTGTTTCTTTTAGTATTTGTAACAAATAAAACAAGTTGCGCCTTTATGACATATGTAATCTAGTTTTGACGTAGTTTTTTTATTTTTTTTTTTTTTTTTTGTGGTTCGTCCTTTTTGTGAATTCAAGTACATGCTTTTTTGATAAAGAACTAATATCAAAATACTTTTTTATTGTCCTATTGCAATGCATTTTGTATGAAAGACGTTTTACAGCAAATGTTTGGCATTTGACTATAGAAAGTACCTACAGTATGCTCTTATCTCCGACGATTTGTTTCTTTTATTTGTATGAGGGATTACATATATCTGTGAATTTGCTTTACCTTTTTTTTCATTATTTATGATGTATCATTCCAGTGACATATGCATACTAAATGCATATCTCTCAGATCATGATATACTCCACACATAATTCATAGTTGAAAATTATCAGACTCCATTCTAAATTGGCTGAACGTTAAGTAAAGTCTGTCCCATAGATGGCCATGTGTATGTTATCCCTTATCGTAACTACATTACCGTCTTCCTTTTCTCATCTCCGTATCACAAATGATAGTTACTATCGACCTACTTTATTTGATCCACGTGATTTGTGGTATTCCATGAGAAGAAGGTGGTTTTTCTTGGGAAACACCTTCTGACTTTGTTCTAAATATTAATGTTGTTTTTTTCCGCCACTTTTTTGCTGAAATGTTGCTTAAGTTTCGCAAAATGTCGACAAGGTATTAGACTTTTGAAACTCAACCTTTTCAACAGGACATTTTTTTTTCCATATGGGAGTTATCTCCCAGTAAAGTATTTTCGCTTCTCCTCAAAAAGCGTTAATCATACCGCTTGAAGTTTACTCCAGAATGTTCATTACTTCCTCATTATGAGTCCCCTTATAGTGATTGACATGAGTGGTATGTTGGTGTACCTCATAAACCGTAAGTCATAGAGCCGTAGAGGTTTGAATAAGATGTTCGTTCTTCTTCGGCAGGAAATTTTTTTGAGTCAAGCTCGTTCACCAAATTTTTAACTTTGCTTGTTATCACAACTCCCAAGAAACAGTAAAAGGTATCGACATAATGTTTTTGTAAGTTGAGACATGATGTAACGCAAATAAATTGTATCGAACGGCTCTGTTGACTTTTTATAGTTTCCTCCCTTAAAAATTTAAAATAAGCTATTTGGAAGAATAACTTCTTGACCATACTTATTATAGACCTTGGGTCTTCTGATTTGAGATCCATTGAGGTCAAGGTCAAATGTTAATTTGACGTTCTAGATTTTGACATTTGCTATAACTTTATACTTGCATTATATAAAGCCGTAATGTCCACTAGAAGAGACCTTGTGTGAACCGTAAGTAGCCATGATTGCACTAATTTTCATGTAAAAGTATTTAGAAAACATATATTGTAAGATTCAATGTGAAGACACATATCATTTAAAAACTGAAGTGACAATTCGTTAATTCGAAATAGCAAATTATCTCCCTTTTTAAGCAAAAGTATAGAGAAACATTATATTTTCGAATTAGTGTAATGAATTTACTATTTTAAACCGATGATAGCTGATCAACTCCCTTATTTCAAAGAAAAGAACTGAATATTTTTGGAATCTGTGCAAGATAAGTTATCGTCTGACACCTTTTTTTTTTGGTTTGTTTACGACGGTTGTTTTTTTGTGATTCAAGAAGTTTTTGCATATCTGTATAAAAGTTTATTTAAACATTAATTATCAACATGTGATATGGAAAGATCTTTGAATATTTATCGAACTTTTTTGTGTTGATATCCAAAAATCGGAAACGTGCAGCTATTTTATCGTCTCCGATGAAAAACCCGTTCAATACATTTCTATCTATAATGAGTCGAACATATTTGATGAGAAAGCTTGGTTGATCGATGAGATTCTGTCGTCCTCTCACAAAAAGAATTACGTAAATTAACTTCAATGTGTCAAAGTCCGCGTTAAATAAAAAAAAAACTTAGATTTTAAACATGACGTTATATAAAACTTAACTTAATCAATAACACGTCTCCTGGTTTTTATTTTAAAAATTCAAACTGGATGAATTCATTTTTTACGCACCGAAAAGACCTACTTAACACTACCGACATGCCAATCGTTGTGTTTGTATAGCGTCTAGATGATTTATTACAACTATAGTTAGTATAAAGAGAAAAATTGCGTCTTTCGAAGTAACTGTGACTGAAATCAAACTGAACGAATGAAATTACCCAAACTAAGGTCTTCTATTAAAAATGATAAGATCATTTTCATGTTCATGAAGGAAATCTAAAAAAGATAAACCTTGTATTAACAATGTTCGTAGAAGCTCAGAAGTATATTCATTTCCCACGACGTGTTTCGTTCAACAAAACATAGCACTCTACAGTATGATGTACTTTTTTCTCCGTCACATTTCATGAAATGAATGAATTTTTCAATATTATTCGAGCACATGAAATATAATTTAAAAAACGTTTCAACATAAGCAAACTAAGTTGACATGACAAGATTCAATATAGTAACGGGGGAGGCGATGTATCTTGAATCGTTTAATATATGGAATGTCGGATAAGTCGAACAATTATGTAAGGTTCCTTTGAATTCGACTTTTCGGGATTTTACTGTAGTATTTTGTTTTGTCATTTGTAGTTCTAATGCTGATATATTTGTACTGCTGCTTCTGTAACCTCATTTTTTAACCATTGTTGAATTTTTGAAAATGTCGATAAGACTTCATTATATGTTAACCTGCAAATGAAAACAACACTTAATAAAAGTTGTGCATCCCAAGACCTTTTCTTGATTAACTTTCATTCGGAACGATCGAATAAAAAACTTATAAAACTGCAAAATATCAAATGAAAATTTTGGTCAGACAAATGTTTATCAACTCTCAAGGTAAAAACCTAGAATAAAAACGTGGAAATTTAATTTTTGTTTGTTTTATATTATGTAGAAAAGTTCTTATATATTTTATTAAGAATTGTTTTAATGGCTTACTATATTACAAATAACTGAATTTATACAACTAAGAGAAAACAATTCTGGTAATAAATGTTTTCAATTTTTGAATGAAAAAGTTCTATCGTAGGTAAAAAAGATTTTGGTAGGACAGAAAAGTTCAAGCTTTAATGAACTTCGTATGTTTTACAAACAAAACATTTAAATAATTGACATGTTATAAGCTTTCAACCATTTTATATTGTGAATCTTTAAAATAAATTGTATAGTTGTTTATTACTGTATAATTCTAAATAAGTATATGTTACTAATCATCTCCCAATATGTGTTAATGTTAGCTTTATATGATACTTTTCTTCATGAATAAGTAATTTTGCATTAATGTTTTTAGATGTTATTTGTGCTAATAAATGAAATTTTGTTTTAAATTGATTTTTCCATGATATTGATTGTTTCCTCCGATGTCCTATAGAGAAGCTTCATAATAGTAACTATAATGGAATTTCAATATTGCATTGAAATTGCACTTTGTTAATACAACTGATTCACAAACCACGCCTCTTTTGAGGAGATATTTTAGTATTCATAGATATTTTGTTTTGTTTACCCACTAGTTCCCCGATATTATCTCCATGTTTCATCTCAAAGAGACACAACTAGGATATTTGACCAGCATTATATTGATATAGTCGGATAGCGGTCAAATTGAATTCTCTGAAAACTGAGAGTAAAGGAGGGGGAAAAGGGGGTGGGGGTAGTACATAATATTAGTATAATCCTCAACTCCTATTTGTGTAAACGTTGCATTTGTATGTCATTTACGTAAAAAGATATTTTAATCTGTCATTACTAGCATTACCCGCTAAAGACTGTGATAGAAATCATACTTCACATACTTACTTATTTTATTGGTAAAAAGATAAAATTGAGAATGGAAACGGGGAATGTTTCAATAGACAACAACCCGACCAAATAGCAGAAAACAGCCCAAGGCCACTAATGGATACTACAGATAAATTTTTTTAACTGATATAACGTTTAATGTCACGATACATCATCGTTACGCAAATTTTGTATTAGTGTATATTTTTGTTGGTATTTTTGTTATTTTATTTTTTGAGCAACAAAAATAATAATGAACATTCTCAATATTTACCCACACTGACAGCGTCACCAATATGTAATAATATTAGCTGTAAATAGGATCTTCGTTTAGAAACAACACAGAACATTGCAATTGAGTTAGAAACAATATTAAATTTCCACGGAACGTACAGATATAACAAGTTGCAAATATACCTTGGAAAGTTGTTTTTTTTTCAATTCTTTCTAAAATTAAGATACTATTATTGACTATGGATTCATTAAAATTTAATTCAAAAGTTCAACGAAATACAAATAGGCTTGTATACACATGTTTTGAAATTCACATAATCTAGTTTCCACGAACATATATTTTACTCTCGATCTACGAAAAGACGTTAATAAAATAATTGTACACATGGAGGGACAATATTACATATGTACTTAGGTGGCTATTTTTCATTCATATTATAGAACATCTGCAGTTTTCTTCTTCTTTGTCATAAATTAAAAACGATTCAAACATGTGAACATCAGTAGGTCTGTTATAATTCTAGCAATTGTCCAAAATGTCCGTGGCATATTCATAACATGGTGGAGTAATGACTACGTTAAGTTTTACTAAATTATTCCGCAACAGTCGTTATTGAAATTTACGCAGATCATTTAGGTGGTTTTTTTTACTCTTTTAATTTTACTATCAACATTATAATTCCATGTTGCGTCAATACCGAAGGCTCAGGTGGGAAAGTTAAGATTTGACATCTCAATATTCGAGTTAATTATAATTTCAGATTTATCAGAATGACATTGTCGGATGAATTATGAAAATAAGGTCAAGGTCAGATGTAACCTGCCATTTGCATATATACACCTTACAAATATCGTGAGCCTAAATCCATTAATTGGAAACACGACTTCAAAATTCTGATGAATTCAGTCGAGGATTATAAATAAAGGCAACAGTAGTATACCGCTGTTCAATAATCATAAATCAATTAAGGGAAAACAAATCCGGGTTACAAACTAAAACCGAGGAAAACACTTCAACTATAAGAGAGAAAAAAACAGAAACACTGAACTGCAACAAAAACAAACACCAACATACATAGAAACGGACTATTAGACTTTGTACAGGACATTTTAAGAAAATATGGTGGGTTGAACCTGGTTTTATGGCTAGCCAAACCTCCCGCTTATATGGCAATGTTAAAAATACCGCTCAAATGACAACATTACGTGACAGGCAATGGGTTAAACACGAGAAAGAAGACGTAGACACTCCTTTCGAATGGATTAAGGCTGTGAGGTCGTTGAAACAAATCAGATTTAAGAAACTGAATGGGTCTGTGAATACCCATGCTACATCAATAAAGACCCAAATATATATAACACTTGTCATACCTCCATAACAAACATGTTTTTGTTCCCGCAGATAAAGCCCCAAACACAATCGTTTTTGTGTGTAAATCACATTACATAAACTGCTTGGTAAATGAATTAGGTATTAACAATTCATTTGGAGACTCAACATATACCCCCACGATCAAAGAGGAAATCCTGGAAAATCATAGGTCTGTTCTATGTTCCTTTAGAATTTCAACCAGAGATGAAGAACTGGATCTTCCATCACCGTATTGGATACCTTAACTACATAAGTGTCCTTACAAACAACGTTATTTTGCTAGGTCTTCCAAGTGCTCCACGGAACCTCTTTATAGATTATTAACATCAATTTTATCAGCAATCAAAACCGGGCGTCAAAGTAATTGTTAAACTACCTATTCTAGAGGTGGCGTGAATTAGATGTGGATACTAAAAAGTTCCAAAGATCTTTTTGAGTACGTACAATCTAAGACTCATTCATCTTGCAACAGATGATAGCGGATATGTTCCAAATGTCGTAACTACAATCACCTTTTCCCCGAATGTGACCTACCGAATTAGACTTATTACCGGGTTTGTACTAACATGAGCAACACGACGGGTGATACATGTGGATCAGGATCTGCTTATCCTTCTGGAGCACCTGAGATCACCCCAGGTTTTGGTGGTGTTCGTGTTGCTCAGTCCTTAGTTTTCTATGTTGTGTATTGTGTACTTTTGTTTGCCTGTTGGTCTTTTTCTTTTTTAGCCATGACGTTGTCAGTTTATTTTCGACTTATGTTTTGAATGTCCCTTTGGTATCTTTCGCCTCTCTTTTACAGTTATTCCATACAACAAATAAAGTTACCTAATGCTAGTAGTGTGTGAGATACGGACTCAACCACGTAACTTTAACCTTGATAACTGATCCATGAATTGAGGTCGAGGTCAGGTGAACATGTAGACGTTGCAAGGAACTAATATACCAAATAAATGTATCATATTACTCATAATGGGCTATTCCAGAAATAATCCATCCCCCCCTATGGAAGACATTGGAATTCCAGATTTTTTTTTCTCAATTTTTTCTAAAATTCCAGACAAATTTCCAATCTGCACAAAAAATTTCCAAACTTCTTGTCTATTGGTGCACAAGAAATTCCATGAATTTTCCAAAGGGTAGAGTAATTTCCACATAATTTTTACTGGTAGTCGTTAAGAATTTCCAGAACAGAAATACTTTGCAACCCATTATTTCCAGGTATAAAACACAAGAGTTCTGATCAATTCCCTATGTATGTTCATCTCTTAAAAGACTTCAAAATAATGGGGGAGGGGACAAAACTTTGATACAGTGATAGTATAGTTTAAATTTAAAGAGCAGGAGCATTCAAAATATTGTTTTATTCATTTTATAAGTTGCACTTTGTAAATAAAGCTTTTTCACAGACTGTCTCTTTTGGAGATATATATATATATTATTCGTAGATATTTTGTTTTGTGTATGTACTAGTTCCCAGATATGATTTTGTGGGGTAGAGATACTACAGAATTTAGTATTTATTTGTTTAAACTCTTTAGAAGTTCGTGCATGTAAATGTTAAAAGTATATGCTGCACAGCCCTTTGTTTTGACCTTTGAATAAAATAGTGGTACATAAAATTGAGAATGGAAATGGGGAATGTGTCAAAGAGACAACAACCCGACCACAGAACAGACAACAGCAGAAGGCCACCAACAGGTCTTCAATGCAGCGAGAAATTCCCGCACCCGGAGGCGTCCTTCAGCTGGCCCCTAAACAAATATATATACTAGTTCAGTGATAATGAACAGTGATACATGTATCAACAACTTTCCATTTCAGGATATAATTAAATTTTTACGAAACTTCATAGTACAAGAGGCACAGTTTTAGCTGTAAAGGTACCCGTAGTTCCTATGGGAAATTGCATTGTATTTATTTACAGAAGTGCAACCTATATTCTATCTTGAATTGTTTCATATATATATACAAAACTGTTGAATGTTAATCAGGTGCAAATGTCACAATAATTGGATTAATAGCATATATGACTACTCACTAGTGGAAAATTATATCACATGGAAAGATAAAAACAGAGAAAATTTGGTTTGATCATGGAAGTATTATATATTAAATATAATACTTTCATGGTTTGATAAATATTGAATGCCTTAATGACCTTTGTTAACACATCAAAAATATATCTTGACATATGATTAAATGTAGCTTCAGACACTTGTGATGTAATATATATAATCAAGGAGATGATAATTTCAACCAACTTATGTATTAAAATCTGTATTTTTCACCCTTTTCATATATATTAAAGGATTAATTAACACCAATAAATTGTGCAATTTGATATCCTAAATTTTATGATGAAATTTAGGGTTTGTCCTATAACATCAACTAATGCCAGATTTTAGGTCACTTCAGCTAAATAGCCAGAACATTTACCAATTAACAGATAATTGATACATCATTTATTCAAACACACTTATTTGTCTTCACAGCAGGAAATTGTCTAATTACCACAATATTGTAGAAGACTGACCAGAAATGACCAGCTGTGGACTATGACTTTGCAAAATACTGCTACAAATAAATAGATTGTTATCAGAATCAGTGGAAAACTGTCTACTGACTTTTGAATTTACATTAAGAAGATCCCCCCCTTTTTTTAAAAATTAATAGTCTTAATACAAGGCAATAGTAAAAGTTGAGTATTTGTGGTTAGTGTTTTATTTTCACACGAAAGAATATAACTAAGATATGGAAAATGGATATGAATAAGAAATGACTGATGTTTTTTAAAAGAAATAAATTTTGAAAATTTAAAAAGTTGATAAAAATTCTTTTCACAAAAAAAACCCTGACATTCCTAATATATACCCTCTTTAACTATTTATTTTTTGTCTAGCCTGCCACTAGTCGGCAAAGCTAGACATATGTAGCAAT